CTGAGAAGGCTTGCTGTTGTTATGTGCCATCGAGTCACTTGTGACTCATAGTGACCCTATGAGCAAGAGCCCTAAACCCTACTCTATCCTTTGCCAGTCTTATTGTCTCTTTCTGACACACCTACCCTCATTGCCCCAGTCACTGAATCAATTCATCTCATAGAAGGTCTTCCTCTATTGCACTGTCCCTCTACCCTCCCAAGCATGATGTCTCTCTTCATGGAGTGGTCCCTCCTTGCAACATGTCTGAAATATGTTGGATGAAGCTTCAGAATCCTTGCCTCCAAGGAGCAGGCTGGTTTAACCCTCTCCAGGACGAATCTGTTCATTCTCTTAGAAGTCCATCGTATATTCAACACTCTTCTCCAACACCATGGCCCAAAGGCATCAATTCTCCTTCTATCATCCCTAGTCATTGTCTAGTTCTCTGATGTATAGAATGTGATGGCAAAGACCATGGCCTGTATCAGGCACACCTTAGTCTCCAGACTGACCTTGTTGCTTTTCAGTACTTTGGAGAGATCTCTGACAGAAGACTTTCCCAAAGCAATGCGTCCTTTAATTTCCTGGCTGCTGGTGCCAAGAGTATTGTTTGTGAAGCGAAGTAAGGCCTATCCTACGGTATAAAGAGGTTGACAAATACAGCCTGAGATACAGAACAAAGAGAGGATAATATAGATGAATGGGACCTTCAAAATTTAGGACCCTATGTGCATCAAAAACTTCTCCCAAAAAAGTGAAAAGAAAACCTACTGATTAGGAAAAAGCATTTGGCAAAACCATCTCAGACAAGGATCTCATAACAAAGTTTACAGAATACTAGAGTGCCTCCACCAGAAAAAGACTGATAACCTGATTACAAAATGGGCAAAAGACAGGAAAAGACTTTTTGGACATGTAGATGGCCAACAAACACATGAAGAAATGCTCAAAATCACTGGCAATAAGAGAGATGCAAATAGTAAGCACAATGAGGTTCGATCTCACCTCAGTAGCACTGTTAAAGTTTAACAGAACTGAAAGCAATGAATGTTGGAGAGCATGTTTAGCAATTGCAACTTTTACACACTGTTGGTGGGTTTGTAAAATGGTACAACCACTCTGGAAGGCAGTTTGGTGTTTCCTCAAAAAGCTGAACATTGACATTCCATGTGACATTCCACTGGTAGGAATATTGTTGTTGTTGTTAAGTGCCGTCAAGTGACAGGCGACTCATAGCAACCCTATGAAGGAGAGTCCTTGATGCTTGAGTGCCTTTCATAGGTAGGAATATACCACAAGGAAATTAGAACTGAGACACAAAAGGAAATTTGTACACCAATGTTCATAGCAGTATTATTCACAATCACAAGAACAGGGAAACAGCGCAAATGTCCATCAATAAATAACTGGATTAAGAAATGGTGGTTTATTCATATGGCAAAATACTATGCAACACTCAGTAGCAGCAATTTTGAAAAAGACTATGAAATGTAGAAGAGGCTAGAAAGTATTATGCTGCATGAAATAACTCAGTCTAGTAAGGACAAATACTGTACAAGACCATTATTGAAAAAATAGAAGGATAACTAGTAAGATATGTATAAGTGTGCAAAGGAGAAAGGGAAGAGGGAATGGAGGCTAAGGAAGGAGAAAGGGGAGATATCACAGGGTCATAGAACTTGGTGGCAGAGAGAGAGCGTGAAGGAATTTAGGAAAGATCCGTGTAGACCTGAAAAGTCAGTATAGTGGGCATAGATCAATGGTGATTGGTTTTATAAAATACATTGTACAAGAATGATTGAAACACAAAGTGATTGAAAGAATGTGTGAAATACAATGTATATGAATGAAACACAGTGTATGTGCATTTTGTATGAAAACCAATATAAAAATTAAAAATATCTATCTATCTATCTATCTATCTATCTATCTATCTATCTATCTCAATCATCTTTCACCTTTAAAAAAACCCCACAAAACCCCATGCTCCACAACTGAGCTTCTCATCTCTTTGAGATGTAAAAGACTTGGGATTTTTAAAATTAAGGATTCTTGTGCTCCTTCAAACAGTTCTGCTGATCTCTAAGCTTCTATATGGGTCTTCCCTCCTACCCTCTTTTCCTTCCTTCCTTCCTTCCTTCCTTCCTTCCTTCCTTCCTTCCTTCCTTCCTTCCTTCCTTCCTTCCTTCCTTCCTTCCTTCCTTCCTTCCTTCCTTCCTTCCTTCCTTCCTTCCTTTCTTCTTTCCTTCCTCCCTCCCTCCCTTCCTTCCTTCCTCCCTTCCTTCCTTCCTGGTGACTAACTTCTTTAGCCTATTTTCTACCTTTTGAGTTCCAAGAGACAGCAAACTCTCCCTTTATTCATTTTTCTGTCCCCTACAGTCTATGTTGATGGGTTTTCTGCCTTGGTAATTGATTAAATCCATAAATCACAGGCTTGGTTTCTAACAAAAGGTTATGTAAACTTGTGCTTGGTAAACATTCTTGATATCCTTCATTTGGACAATGCCATTTTCCAAATATTTAAGTTCTGTTTTCATTTTGTATAGTTCATTTGTAAGAATATCTTTTTATTTCGCTGTAAGCAGCAAGGTGAAACCACATGGCCTCTGTAAGATTTTTCTTAGAAATTTCTTTAGTTAAATATCCAAGTTCAACATGTACAAGTTCTAGTTTCCACTGAGCACCTGGACATACCTCTAACAAGTTCTTTGCCACTGCACAAAAATCATTGCTCTTAAGACAACTATGAGATACCATCTCACCCCAGTCAGAATAGCAGAATTTAACAGAACAGCAAGCAACAAATGCCGGCGAGGTTGTGGAGAAACTGGAACCCTTATTCACTGTTGGTGGAAGTGTAAAATGGTGCAACCACTGTGGAAGGCGGTATGTTGCTTTCTAAAAAAGTTGCAAATAGAGATACCATTTGACCCAGCAATTCCACTACTGAGAATATACCCCAAAGAGACCATAACTGACATCCAAGCATATATATGCACACCCATGTTTATTGCAGCTTTGTTCACAATAGCAAGAGTTGGAAACAACCTAAGTGCCCATCAACAAACGAATGGATAGAGAAGCTGTGGTATATTCACACAATGGAATACTACGCTGCATAGAAAAACAAGGAACTCATGCAAGGAACTCAAACAAGGAACATATTAAAAATGGGTGACCCTGGAGGATGTTATGCTGAGTGAAGTATCTCAGGCACAAAAGGACAAATACTACATGGTGTCACTGTTGTAAAACAGGACTGACATCAGGGTTGGGGGGAGACTGAGAAAGATGGGTTCAATAATGGATACTGCATTGAAACAGATGAGGGAGAGAACTGTTTAAAAGGGATACGTGATCAGGTATTTTTGTCATGACAGGAGTCCAGAGTGAAGGCTGCATACTGGAGTGGACATGGGGGGAGGGATTGTAAAACAACGAAATAATTTTTCTTTTGCTTTACCAAGAGGGTAGTGTACTGGGGAGGAGGGTTGGGAGGGAAGAAATGTGTAACAATGAATGAATGGAAATCCAAAGTCTCTGTAAATTTTCATTGGCATGAATAATAACAAAATTTTTTTAAAAAAAATCATTGCTCTTTCATAGTCCAATCGTTAAAGCAGAGGTCTCAGAGGTCTTCTTCCTACCTCCTCCTTATAAATGATAGGATTAAGTGCCACCATCAGGTCACCCTCACAAAGCTTATGGATGAGTAGAATATACAACTTCTTTCCAGGTCATGGAGATGTGTTCCATACTGCTTTTCAATATCCCAGCTGGGGTCACCTGCCCTTGAAGTCATCACTTCCCTGTCACATCCCACCCCATGTCAACAACTTCTCCTGAAACTGTCTCTGATTCTGCTTCTGAGATGCCTTAAACAAAGATGTTGTTAGGTGTCATTAAGTTGTCTATGTCTCATAGTGCCCCTATAAACAGTGGACCTGAACCTGTCATACTGTCATCTCTGACATGCTAATTCCAGATGAAATACATCTGTAACTAAAGAAGATCTGTGATTGCAAGTTCCTGAGATACAGGAGTACATGACTCTTACTCCCACCTTGCTCCACAAAGGAACTCATCGATGTGGGAACATTTTAAGTTATTTCTGATGCTTTTGGTGACTCCCTGTACCTCAAGATGCAATGATCTACGGTTCGAATCCACCAGATGCTCTGCCGGGGAAGGAGGGACAGTCTCCTCCTGTACCAGTCAGATCTGATTTGACGGTACACTCACATCATCATCATCATCATCATCATCATCATCATCATCATCATCATCATAATTTTTTTAAAAAGATGCAATGATCTGAACTGTAAAAATGCTGAAATATACAGACTTTCTCCCAATTTAACTTCACACTCTTTAGGAACTTGGCATAGAGTTAGATTCTGAGACATTCCCACGATCCAGTCCTATTTAAAGACTGCCTCTCTATTTAGAATTCATGATGGGGGGAAATAAAAGAAAAAAAAAAGGCTCCCAAATATAAGAGGGGAGCATGAAACTGGAAGAAGAAAAATCCAGTTTGTGTCTAAAAAAGGCTAGATAGGTTAATGACTCAAGTTTCGGGATCACCTTTTCTTCTTGTTTTTGATAACTGAAGTAGAATTTTACTAAGTGTTACAAGTGAGCTCCCTCTACTTCTGAGACCCTGGCAGTTACTGCTTGCTCAGTAGCATGCCATTTAAGTAGAAAATGTTGATGGGGAAATGACTGAAGCCGAAACACAGCTGCAGGCTTCTGCCTGCTATGCAACATTTCCACAGCTCTCGCTCATGCCTCCTTTTGTGGAAAATAAAAGCCTAGCAAAAGCAACAGAAGTCAGAAAACTATTCATTCCAGGAAGGCCCTGCATCCGGTGAGAAGTAAGAAGTACACCAGGCACAGGATGCGCCTTGGGTCAGGGGAACGTGCCCAGCCCACAGCCTTTGTGTCCTCCTCTGCCCCAGAGGCTGTGGCTGAGCCTGGAGCTCCTGTCTGAGCACAGCTGTGAGCTCAGACAGCGCGGAATGGCCACCTCTGCCGGCCTATCCTTGTTCTTGCTGCTCCTGGCCCAGCAGGAGGCGAGGGTCCATGCTGAGGCCCAGGCTGTGGTGTGTGATCGGAATGCCTGCTACACCGCCCACTGGGGCAAGCTGAGCGCAGAAGAGGCCCAGCTCAACTGCAGCACCAATGGGGGCAACCTGGCCACGGTAAGGGACGTGGAGGAGGCCCGCTCCATCCAGCAGGCCCTGGCCCAACTTCTGCTGCCTGAGGCTCCACCAACTGTGCGCATGGGCAAGTTCTGGATCGGGCTGCAACGTGAGAGGGGCAAGTGCCTGAACCCCAGCCTCCCGCTGAAGGGCTTTAGTTGGGTGGGTGGAGGGGGCGACTCGCAGTACGCCAACTGGCAGAAGGAACTCAAGAGCACGTGCATCTCCAAGCGCTGTGTGTCCCTGGCAGTGGACCTCTCCCTGCCACCCGTGGCTGGCCATCTCCCCAAGTGGTCAGAGGGCCCATGCGGGAGCTTTGGCATCCCAGTAAGCAACACTGAGGGCTTCGTGTGCAAGTTCAGCTTCAAAGGCATGTGCAGGCCGATAGCCCTAGGGGGTCCAGGCCGGGTCACCTACACCACCCCCTTCCAGGCCACCAGCTCCTCCCTAGAGGCCGTGCCCTTTGCCTCAATGGCTGCTGTGGCCTGTGGGGATGAGGACAAGGAAGGGAGCCATTACTTCCTGTGCAAGGAGAAGAGTGGTGACATGTTTGACTGGGGTACCTCGGGGCCGCTCTGTGCCAGTGCCCAGCTAGGCTGCAGCTTTAACAACGGGGGCTGCCAGCAGGATTGCTTTGAGGGAGGTGACGGCTCCTTCCGCTGTGGGTGCCGGCCGGGCTTTCGGCTCCTCGATGACCTGGTGACTTGCGCCTCTCGGAACCCCTGCAGCTCCAGCCCCTGCACAGGGGTGGCCACATGTGAGCCTAACGAGCTCGGGATGGGTTACAGCTGCCACTGCCCTCCAGGCTACGAGCTGGACTCCAGTGGGCAGGCATGCCGCGATGTGGACGAGTGCCTAGCTGCACCCTGTGCGCAGCGGTGCTTCAATGTCCCTGGGAGCTTCCACTGCACCTGCTGGGTGGGATTTGAGCTCCAGGAGGGCCGATGTCAAGACTTGGACGAGTGTGCGCTGGGCCAGAGCCCCTGTGCGCAGGCCTGCATCAACACCGAGGGCTCTTTCCATTGCTCCTGTGATGAGGGCTACACAGCGGCCGGAGAGGATGGCACCCAGTGTGAGGACTTAGATGAGTGTGCGGACCAGAGGTCCAGCCCCTGTGAGGGCCTGTGCTTCAATGTGCCCGGCTCCTTCCACTGTGGCTGTTTGGTGGGCTGGGAGCTGTCCCCTGATGGGATCTCCTGCATTATCGGTCCCACGTCACGTAGACCACTAGCAGGAGAGCCTGCCCCCCAGGAAGAGAATCAAGGGAGCTCTGCTCCTTCTGACATCACGTCTAGTTTCTCCAGAGGTCATGGGACCACCACTGAGGGCGTGCTCACCACGAGAAAGACCTTCTTGCTCTCCAACACTCCCGTCGCTGTAGTCTCATCCAATACTCTGGTCCCCAGTGTCCAGATAGAGCCCCGCACCAGCCATCCCACAGCTTCTGGTGGTCTTACCGAATCTTCAGGAGGGGATTCTGTGGCAAAACAAAGTGAAGATAACACTGATGGGCAGAAACTGCTTCTGTTTTATGTCCTGGGTGCTGTAGTGGCGATCTTACTGCTCCTGGCTCTAGCCCTAGGTTTATTGGTCTATAGCAAGCGGAAAGTGAAGAGGGCAGAGAAGAGAGAGAAAAAAGCCACAAGTGCAGCTGATAGTTACTCCTGGGTTCCAGAGAGAGCGGAAAGCAGGGCCATGGAGAATCAGTACAGGTAAGTGAGTCAGCCCTGGGAGGAGATGGGCAGGCCCTCAGGTTTTGGAGAGCTGGGAGGTGGAGGAAGAATAGACCAAGTGCAGGCTCAGAACCAACAAAACAATAGCCACTGCATGTTCAACAGCCAAGGTGCCTTAGCCTGGAGGCACTTGTATGCACTGACAGGAACAGGTGGGCCTGTGTCTCTGTGGGGATAGATGTATGTACAAGACAACAAGCCAGAGACTTCCAATCTGTCCTCTTTTGTTTCCATAGTCCAATGCCTGGGATGGGCTGTTGACAGGAGGACACTCCAGATCCTTTCCGATGACTGCTGCTGTCCTCAGATCCTGAAACATCTGGCAAAAGCAGGGGCCTCATCTATTCTAAGGATTGGACCTGTAAACCTTTTTAAAGGCTACCAGCTTGTGGATTGCCAAGCATTTTTTATATGTGTGTTTCCTAAACTGGAAGCTTGGCAGTAGGCTGCCATGTTGGAATTATATGAATACTAACAGTGCTTACCCATCCATACCCACCTTTCAAATTGAAATGTAACTGATTTCATTTTCTACAATGATCTCTATCAAGGGGTCATAAGGCATGTGCTAATGGGACTCCCTTTTGCTAACATCGTTCTTTATTCACCTTTATCATCTGAAGAAGAAAATGTTATACAAAGCTATTTTAAAGCATTTATCCTCCTTTATAAGTGCACATTTATGCAGATTCCTCCCTGTGATCTGTGGTCCACAGCTCTCTCTTTGCAGTCCTGCTGTGTGACATGAGTAGAAATTAGGCCTCAGAGTCACTGAGGGCAAGGGTTAGATGTTGCTTGCATAGTAATTGGAGTCTGAAATCACCTGTGGGCTTTTGGCTTCTATTCTGTCAAAGAAAAGATAACTCTAATGAGTCTGGCCATCTCTGCTGGAAGTGGATACCCTAGAGTTCAACAGTACCTCAGTCAGGTTCATGGTCTTTAGGATTAAAGAAATGTTCTTTTGCCTGTTTTGAAATGTAGATACTATTAGTTTTGAGATATAGTTACTATCACTCAGATTTTTGTTTTTCTTTGTTTAAGAAAACATAAAACTAAAAAGATGAATAGGAAAAGACAGGCTTTGTGTGGCTTAACAAGATGTATAGAACTTCTGTTTTTTATTCATGTAGTATTTCTGTTTTCAGTTGGAAAACAGATGTCTTAACACTTAAGTGAGGCAAAGGCTGATGATATGGGCAGAGGATTGTTGAATTGAGACTTTCCATATATTGGATGGAAACTAGTTCAACCACTCAAATGATCTGAAAAGTTGAACACCACTCCCTGGTACCTATAACATGAATGAAAGTAAATGAACATTCAACAGTTTCACATGATGAATTATTTTTTTTCTCCAGTCATTTGAGGTGATGGGAAGACATTCCTTTAAGGACCTAGCAGACCCTAAGGGATCTTGAACTCACGAAGCTGGTAAAGCTTCTATCATCTTTTCAGCATCCTGATTCCTGACACCCCAGCCTCATATTCTGGCTTCTGTATCTGAGTCCTGTGGCTGGGAATGTGCAGGAGGATCCTGGAGCTCCTCTGTGAAAGTAACTTGTGGAAAAGGGGTTGAAAAATATCACCATTCCTTAGAATCTCTGCCTGACAAGATGGATGGATCTCAGGATGGAGATCCTTGGCCCAAGACTAACACTTTTGTTTTCCTTTTATTTCTGCACTCATCTGGAGGCACACAGATCCTTACTTCTGGACCATTGACAAGTTGCTAATGGGTTGGGCTCTGCAGTAGGACAGAAACACTCTTGGTCCTGCCAAGAGGATGTGCAGTTTGTTCTGCCTGTACACCTTTGCTTTCATTGTTGCCTTCAGGCAGCAAATATTTTTTTGTTTGTTAGTTAGAAAAAGATGCAAAATGCTTGAGGTGACGATTGTTCTCTGCAGCAAAATCAGCAGGGACTATGAGTGCAGACAGAGGACACCACTTGGCTTAAGGACAGGAGAATTTTTTTTTTCAAATAAAATTTCTCATAACTTAATAATTTTGTGAGGCTGTTAGAGAGCTGTGGTCAGGGTTAATTAATCTACTTATTTGAACTCAGATCTTGGTTCCCATTCTGGAATTTCAGATAAAAGGTGGGGTTTTTTTGTTGCTGTTGTTCAGTTTTTTGATCCCATACTATTTCCTCAGTGATGCTGAGTGGGAGGGTTATACTAGTTTCTGCCCCCCAAAAAGAGAGAAGCAGCTAGAGATCCTGCCAGGCCCCAATTATAACCAACAATGTTACATATTGACAGATTATTAAGCTTCAGAAAAGCTCATCTTTATATCTTATTCCCAATTACAGTTTAAAGAAAAACAATTTAAAAAGTTAAGCCTTTATGTATTTGTATACATGTACACTGTGTAGGAAGAACTGAGTTGTAAGTGGATTTCTTTTTTCTTAATGCACATATGCATGTGGTCTTTTAAGCTTTGATGGCCTAGTGGAAAGGAGTTGCACTGTCAACCCAAAGCCAGGCAGTTTGAATCCAACAGCTACACCAGTGGCGAAAGATGTTCATTCTCCTCCTGTGTGAGTTATTGCCTCTGAAGACCCACTGGAGGGGCAGCTATGATTCGGGTCCCACTTGACAGCATATAACTACAGCAAAATAGGAAGAACAGAGCTATTAATGAATTCCTTTTCTCCTTGGAGAAAGACATCATACTTGGAAGGGTGGAGGGACAGCACAGGAAAGGAAGACTCCAGATGAGATGGATTGATACAGTTACTGGGCAATGAAGGTTGGTGTTTTGGCATTAGTGAGAATGGCTCAGGACAGGGCAGGGTTCAGAGCTGCTGTACAGGTCACTATGGGTCACAGGCTACTTAATGGCACATAACAACAACAGCAATGGATTTGTGCATGTGCTCTATTAGGCTCTTCTTACGAATCCTTGTTTGAGCATGTTCTTCATGACTGAACAGACTTTGAAGAAAATGACCATTTTTAGGTAGCATTGTTCCACTTCTCTTTCCCATAACTATTCCTGTAGAAACTAAGAAAATAGAGAGGAGATTCAAGTTTTAAAATGACTGAATTAAAAATAAAGTAATTTTTAAAGGGAGATAGGCAAATACTTTCCTATTCTTCTTCTTAGTTTCTACATTGTTTAAATTAGAGAAACAGGAAAGCATTCCTTCCTAGCAGCTGCAAACTGGTTTAGTGTTCTTTACGCATTTCCGTCATCTTAAGCAATAGCCTTAATATGGGAATCTAAATGTATCCCTGAAAACACTTGCAAACTCAGTAGTTAAGTCTGTATGGATTATGGAGTTTATCAACCAAACAAAAAGGAAGGTAGATGATAATCCACATTTTTTAATAATCCACATTTTCCACATATTTGTAATTCAAATATTCTATTCTAAACACCTAAGTCCATTATTTAGGTAAGTACTTTAAAAAAGGAACCATGTTTCAATCTGTATATGGAGATAGTGCCCATCTATTTTAGAAATTACGGAATTCCTTTCTCCCATTGTAGCTCTTATCTGCAAGTAGCAAACATTTCCTTTCCAAACACTTTGCCTGTTATTATCTTTGGCTTGAAGGTCTTTGTGCATATTTGCCTTATACTTGTATAAGATCATGTGTGAGGCTTTATTTTTTATATGAGATATAATTAATACATTTATAAATCTCCCTGAAATTGTAAGTACTTTTAAAGTATGTATTTGTGATTTGTCTGACTAATTTTGAACTGTGGGGTCTTTGTGCAAGATTTATTTTTATTACTCTGTGCATAAATATCTTATGGGTTGTGATGACAGTAAGCTTCTCTGCTGTATTGCTTCTTGGAACCCAGACAGATCTGTGGGGAATGTTGAGTCAACATTTAAGAAGTACTAGCATTGTCTTCTTTGCAATTTTTCTTGGCTACCTGTTCTAATAAATAACTGTTCAAATAATACATATGCTGTCAGTCTATTTTAATATGTTGTTGCTGTTAAGTGACTATGAATACAATTCATAGCAATGCTATAAAAATAGATTTGAACACTATCCTATCCTGTGCCATCCTCATTATCTCTGTTACACTTGAGTCTATTGCTTCAGTCTCTGTGTCAATCTATCTTATTAAAGGTCTTCCTTTCTTTTGCTGACCTCCTCTTTTCTATGCATGATGTCCTGGAATGATTAGTTTCTCCTAGCAATATATTCAAAATATGTGAGACAAAGCTTCTCTATCTTTACCTCCTAGGAGATCTCTGGCTGCACTTTGTCTAAGAAATTTGTTTGTTCTTGTGTTAGGCCATGGGATATTTACTGCTCTTCTCTACCACCACAGCTCAAATGCATCAATTCTTCTTCTGCTATTCTTAATTATTGTTCATACATATAGCAATATTCATACATATAGCAAGTGATTAGAAAGATTGTGGCTTGAATCAGGTTCATCTGAGTCTTTAAAATGACATCTGTGCTCTTCAGAGCTTTGGAAAGATTTCTGACGGCAGACTTTTCCAACTACATTTGTTTTCATCATGCTTCCCTATTTAAAGTGTTGCTTAAAGTAAAACCATGTTTCAACTTTATCACCTAGAGCCAAGAGTTGTTGTTGTTGTTGTTATGTGCCGTCGAGTCGTGACTCATAGCAACCCTATGTACAACAGCCCTAAACTCTGCTCTGTCCTGTGCCAATCGCACTGTCTCCGACACTCCCATCCAAATTGCCCCAGTCACTGAATCAATCCACCTCATAGAGGGCCTTCCTCTCCTGTGCCGTCCCTCCACCCTCCCAAGCATGATGTCCCTCTCTAAGGACCGG